ACACACACACACACACACACACACACACACACACACACACACACACACACACACACACACACACACGGCAAGATGGCCCTACAATCAAAATGGCAAATATTCTTTGGGAGAAGAGTGCTTTGGGAATCAGAATAATTTTAGAGAGAACCATCTTTTTCTTAAAAAATTTTGACAACATAGGTGCAATAAATTGAAAGATCAAAGAAACAAGATTAAAATGAAGATAACAGGAAGACATAAAAGACATCCATAAAGAGGGAATAAAAGTGATTTCATGGGCCAGTGAAATAGCTCCATAGGTAAAGACTCTTATGGCCAAACCTGATGACTTGAGTTCAGTCCCTGGGACCAGCGTGGTGGAAGGGAAGATCTGACTCCCTCAAGCCATTTTCTGATGTCCTGTTGTGTGACACTGTTCTTGGGAAGATGTGAGCACTCATCCTAGAAAGGAACTGGTAACAGAACAAAGTGACAGATCCCACTGAAATCCAACTTTGGTGAACCAAGTTTGGTGAACCAGTGGGAATAGATGTGAAAAGTTACTTACTGTAGCAGAAGTGACTCAAAGACAGCTGCACCACCAAAGGCTACACCAGAATGGGTGACGATTCATAAAAGCTGGAAACCTGGGGCACACTGCGCAGTCTCCCAGCAGTGCAGTAGGTTGAATAATGTTTTTTCCAGGCAGCTTGGTGGCTGGTTCTTACGGCCTATATAACGTTGGGAAGGGAGAGGCTTAGTGAATCTGGTCAGTTTCAGGGACTTCCAGAAACCTTTGAGTTGTTTACTTCCTTAGTTTATCAAGTTTCCTTATAGGATACAAGGTTTCATCTCTCTTTAGAACATTCTGCATCTTAATGCTTCGCTCTAAGTTAGAAGGCTTTATATCTTAGAGGAAATTGCTACATGTGTGCTCCTCGGGAAGTATAGCCTGCTTGTACACCCCTATAATACCCCCCCCATCTCTATAATAAATAATTTTAAAAGTCATTTTATTTCTGGGGAGATTAGAGTTTTCTCTTGGGGTTTTTAATTAATAAAAGAATTTAAGAAGTAAGCGCAGTGGCACATGCCTTTAATCCTAGCACTCAGGAGGTAGAGGCAGGTGAATCTCTGTGAGTTCAAGGCCAGCCTGGTCTTACACAGTGAGCCTCAGTATAGCCATGACTATATAGAGAGAACCTGCCTTAAAGTGAGTGAAGGAGTGCATGAATTTAGGAATGAACTCTGAGTTTGAGGACAGTTTTATTTACATTTAAAAGAAAAACCCCAAGGGAGGCAAGCTCAGCATCTGCTTAGAGGAGGAGGATGGAAAATGGGAGGAGAGAAAGCCATGCCATGCCAGTTAAGCAGCTATGGAAGTCAGCCTGGTGGGGGGAAAGGCAGCCAGGCTGCTAGGAGGAGGACTTCCCAGCAAGAGTGAAAAAAGCCCCAAAGTACCAGAAAAAGCAGATTTTGATTTTTCTTTTCTGGGATAGAGTCTCACTATGTAGCTCTAACTAGCCTGGAACTTGCTGTGTAGACCAGGCTGGCCTAGAACTCACAGAGACCCACCTGCCTCTGCCTCCCAAGTGCTGGGACTGAAGGTGTGCACCACCACTCCCAGCACAGAGGAAGCCTGTTTAGATTCTGGCCAGCATCCAAAAGACACAAAAAGAAGAGAAATAGAAAGTTAAGCCTTTTCTGAGTAATTCAGAGAAGTGGGCAGGCTTACCCTGCTGAGAGCTGCTGGTAGCAATGGTTTTACCAGAGGCCATAAGAATATACAGCAGATGGCAATTGATAGTTCAGGTGTCAACCCACCAGATGAATGATTGTCTGATGGAGAAACCCCATTCAAGTAAAGCTTACAGAGCCACAGACTCTGAACACAGTTGTTTCTGTCTGTAATTTCACATGTGCAAAAACAGCTGTGGTATCTTCCCAATACCTGCCCTGCAATGTGTAATCTCATACATGTAATCTCATGATCACATCTCAAGTTTATGGGTACTTAAATCTGTAGACTGTATAAAGATGACTCATCATTAAGCTGTATAATTTTGATAAATAGAAAATATACTGAGATATGCTTCATAACTAGATCTATAGCTCCATGAGGACTGTAAGACACTTAAGCTTGTTTTATATCATTAACTCAGACTGACATAAAGAAAACAGCAGATTCTTCTCAGTTCTAAGACAAGCTACTTACAATGAGCTGATTTTAGGCCTCAAAGCAAATTAGAACTAGACTTCAATGCCTCATAAGTTAAACTTTCACAGGTAATACACAAGGACAAATTCCCAAGTATCCGATTATGGAACCAAGGTCAGGCACAAAGCAACTTTGGTGCCAGTTCCCTGCTTGCTCAGTCTGGCTGATAAAGACCTAACTCCCTACAAAAACTCCTCAGCAGCTTGTTGCCGTGGTTACTCACTCCCCTCAGGTGTGACTTGTTATTGTTTTCCTTGGGATGTATATAGGGGGAGGTAAAACAAGGAGGAGAGAGAGAAGCATGAGAGAAATAAAGAGAACAATCGCCAGTGCCTGTTTGAGTCTTATTCCCTCAGATAGATAAGAATTATTTCTAAGTCCAGCTACTCTGAATGCATTCTGTTTACAACCCTGCAGCAGTTCTGGGAGCTGGTCAGCCAGGCTAAGATAGTACCCCAGCTGCCAGGCTGCACCTCCATAAACGTCTGCACTAGAAACCAGCTAGCTAGAAAGGAAAAGAGCATGATCTCATTAAAGGGATAACTAATCCTCCTATTTCTTTATCATGGCTTAAGGTGAATCCACCTTCCTGAGGGCTGGGCCCAGCTGGAGTGTGAGGTCCTCATGTAGGCTAGAGACCCTTCTCTTGACCAGAAGGAAGGAGCTTCCCTTAATGGCCCTTTACTGCCCCTGTAAGAATTTCAGAAAGGGAGAAAGTGTTGGAAACATCAGGCAATAGCACCAGTGCCTGTGAAGTCTCAGTTCCTTGAGGACAAGCATCCGGAAAGAGGAAAGGGGGGGGGGGGTTAAGCTCCTGTAGGGTCTGGAGAACGAGCTGCTGTAGCCATGCTTTCTATTTTGAATGAATGGGTTTAAGTGTATAACAGGCCAACGAAAAAGAATAAATAACAAGTGCTGATAGGTGATAGATAGGTAAGTGGCAGAACATAATCGAATCAGGTGCTTAAAACATTCACTGAAATGGATTTTGGAAGCCCCTTTAAGGCTGGAGTTTCTGACCCAGTCTGGGAAGAATAGTGTGTCCCCTCGTGCGATGATTCCAAGTAGAGGAACAAACTGCAACAGACAGAGATGGCATCATCAATTCAGGTGCCCACAACACCAGTAGAAACCAACTGGGGAAGCTGAGGCAGTCAGCTGAAGTTCCCCTCGCTCAATTTCCGGCTTCTCTTTCCTACCAACATC